AGAGAGACACTGATGCAATGCTACATTCCTCCAAACCTGATGAAGAAACACACTCATCCTGATCTGGGATGAACTGCGGGTGAGCACATTAACAGCTGATGTTTTTGGCTGAACTGTTGTGTCAAAAGCAGGTTTATTGTGTGAATCCGGCCGGCGCTGAAACGGACAGAGTTTGATCACAGCGAGAGCAGGATTGATCTCCGTCCGTGTCAGCGTGAATGTGTGGAAGTTTCCAGCCGGCTGACGGAGTGCTTGATGTGTGCAGATGGCCTGGGGAGCCTGTGCTCTGGTGCTGGCGGGAAACATCGTGATCTTCGCCACCATCCTGGGCTTCTTCCTGGTGTTCGGCTCCAACGATGACTTCAGTTGGCAGCAGTGGTGAAGCAGGACTCTCCGCTCATCTCACTCTGACATTACCGTTTTATTTATAATCGCCGCCCATTGATAGAAGCAGGAATCCAGTGCAATAATTGTGTTAATGTTAGATGGCTCTGACCTCAGATAGACGCTCTCTCGTGTCCTTTCTCGTTATGAATGCAGGTGGTCGAACAGAAACACTGTTTTTCTGAAGCTTTGAACACTTTGCTTTGCATTTCTCTTTTACTCAGTTTATTTATTTGTTCCTGTTCTCTGTTGATCATCGTATTAAACGTGACATCGTCGACCGAAGCTCGTTATGTTGATTTGATGAGTCTGTTTTTATTGCATAGCGACGCGTTTGTTTCCCGCAAACATTTATTTTAGAGAAAAACCCAGAGTAACCGGTTATTAGGTAACTATGAACACGCAGATGAAACGCAGGTCATGTTTGTTTTAGCTCATATCCATCGTTCATAAAGACAAGATGGTGTGAGTTTCTCTGAATCAGACGCTCGGTGTGTGACGAGAGGTTAAAGTCAGCATGAAATCTCTTGATTTATCAGCGCACAATAAATCGGTAAATATAAAGTTGGCCTTATAATCTTTATTTATTCATGTAGAGAAACTTTTCGACCATCCAATTAATAATTCCTGATGGATAAAATCAAGTCTTATCCTACACTTGTTTGCTCTGTTACATGTTTCTATGGAAACCTATTTCCGTCACAGAATCAAAAAATTGCTACTTTTTAACTTTCCTCGCCAGAGCTGTAAGATATTTGTATCTCACAGCTTTTCTCTGAGTTTTCAGTTTGCGTCTCGCAATTGTTTTTTTTGGCACAGAATAAAAACAATTTTTAAAAACTGTATTTTTGGCTTTTCTTTTTTATGTTTGCTCAGAATTGAGAGGCGAACCCACAGTTCTGAGACGAAAAGTCTGAATCATAAAATATAAACTCATAATTGAGGAAAAAAGTCAGAGATTAAACTCGCAATTACGGTTTTTATTTTTTATTACATGGTGAAAACTAAATGCAAACTCATCAAAGAATTGTGAGAAAAGTCAAATCTTGCAGTTCTGACTCAGTTTTTTAATTCTGTGGCACAAATGCGCTTCCATTCAATGCATTGGTAGAAAGTGCTGTTTCATATTGACTTTAAAGCTTCAAAGAGACGTTCTGTTATTTTATATCTCACTCTTTGTGCAGAAACGGCGCAGGTAACATCGTGACTTTTTCCTCTCTTCTTGTTCATTTTTTAAATAAATGCCATTTTTGAAAAAAAAACTTTTTATTGTATGTTTGTTGTCATCGCAGATGATGTACAGTGAAAAAAAAAAAGTTTAGAATTTTTTCCACTCACAAACCATTACATAGAAACGTTAGAAATAGTGAAAAAACTGAAATAGTATTTTCTCGTAAAACATGCTCCAGTAATCTTGTGTATGACCTCTGACTGTTCCTGTTCTGACTACTACTACTGATTAATAATCACACACTTATCATCCAGTAATGAAACGTGAAGTGAGGCCTCGGGCAGGTTTTCTGCGCTCAGTGGAATGAAGGAGATGCGCTGAAACACGCCGGCGTCGCTGAAACACACACATTCCATGAATAATTCAGATCTGCATGAATCTCATAAAACATGTTTGGGACTCAAACCAAAAAATAACAAGATGTAGGTCTAAACATATATTATGCATGAAGAAAATAAAGGCGTTTTTAATTTATTTGCATACCAATTTCACCCCAAATTCTTATTACTGTATCTGAATACATTACTAATTCTCATTATTCTCAATGCTGATTAATTAGATTCTTATCAACTTAGTACAATGTTGTTGTTTTTAAATTAAATCCGCATTAAGCGAACAGATTCTGCATCATGTAAAATATATATTAATATGTTCTTAAATCATGATAATGATTATTTGGTGGTTAAATGTGTTTAAAACAATGCACGGGGGGGAAAGAAAACTTTGAAAGTTGTTAACATGAACTAACAGAAAAATACATTTATTAATTTCGGTAATTTAAAATCAAAAGCTGCATCTGTTTAAATTATCAATGCATCATGAACTAACAATGAACAGTGTTTTTATTAACTAACATTAACAAAGATGAATAAATACAGTTACAGATGCACTGTGTATTGTGAGTTAGTTCATGCATTAGTTAACTAATGCACAGTGAAACATGAGCCCGAGGGTGGTGTGTGTTTGAGTGTTTGGGCCCCGGAGCGAGAGCCGACCTTCATCGTGTTTGTAGAGCAGCTCTGAACGACTGAGAGACCAGACCAGACCAGATCAGAGGTTATGAGGAGATTTCTCAGAGTTGACAGACATGAAGATTACGGTCAGATTCAGCATCTCACGGCTAAATGCATCCGGCTGTTTCAGGAGAAAGGTAAGTGTGCAAGTCATACTCTCACTTTTAGTTTGGCACAAACCAGTGAGGACTAGACCTCAGAAAATGCTGAAAACAATGCCTTTTAGTTTCAGTGTGTTCAGTGCTACAATCCTGTTGTTGATTTGACTGTTGACATGATCACATAAAATAGCATTTATTTGATCTCACTGCTAGAGCTATGATTATTTGACACGCAGCTAATGTGTATAAATCATGCTGTTCATGTGCACATTTGTTCATGCATTAATAATGACCCCAATCCTTTGTAGTTTTAATCGCAGCAGTCAGACACTAGATGGGCTAGAGTTAGGTGTCACAAACATCAAAAGATTATAATGCTGTTTTAAAGCAGTGCAAATTGTGTATTATAAGTGTTTGTTCGTATACAGAAAGTAATATTGTATTCAAATAATATTGTTTGACTTTATTTTGCACTACTGATATGTTTTGTTAATATTACTTATTTAAGTGTATTTTGCGTGACTATTTTTCATTCTGTGCAGCTGTGCTTCAAATGCATTAAGTTTTTGTTTGTTTGTTTAGCTGGTGATTACAGCTGCTCAGTGATCCTGTGGAGACACTGGGAATGTAGAAGAAACACTGTAGGATTGGCTGTCTCTGTGTGTGTGTGTGTGTGTGTGTGTGAGAGTGTGAAAGTGACAGTGTGTGTGTGTGTGAGTGAGTGAGTGCGTGTTTGAGGTTGTGTAAGTGTGTGTGTGTGTGTGTGTGTGTGTGTGTGAGTGAGTGTGTGTGTGAGAGAGAGAGAGAGAGAGAGAGAGAGAGAGAGAGAGAGAGAGAGAGAGAGAGAGAGAGAGAGAGAGAGAGAGAGAGAGAGAGAGAGAGAGAGAGAGAGAGAGAGAGAGAGAGAGAGAGAGAGAGAGAGAGAGAGAGAGAGAGAGAGAGAGAGAGAGAGAGAGAGAGAGAGAGAGAGAGAGAGAGAGAGAGAGAGAGAGAGAGAGAGAGAGAGAGAGAGAGAGAGAGAGAGAGAGAGAGAGAGAGAGAGAGAGAGAGAGAGAGAGAGAGAGAGAGAGAGAGAGAGAGAGAGAGAGAGAGAGAGAGAGAGAGAGAGAGAGAGAGAGAGAGAGAGAGAGAGAGAGAGAGAGAGAGAGAGAGAGAGAGAGAGAGAGAGAGAGAGAGAGAGAGAGAGAGAGAGAGAGAGAGAGAGAGAGAGAGAGAGAGAGAGAGAGAGAGAGAGAGAGAGAGAGAGAGAGAGAGAGAGAGAGAGAGAGAGAGAGAGAGAGAGAGAGAGAGAGAGAGAGAGAGAGAGAGAGAGAGAGAGAGAGAGAGAGAGAGAGAGAGAGAGAGAGAGAGAGAGAGAGAGAGAGAGAGAGAGAGAGAGAGAGAGAGAGAGAGAGAGAGAGAGAGAGAGAGAGAGAGAGAGAGAGAGAGAGAGAGAGAGAGAGAGAGAGAGAGAGAGAGAGAGAGAGAGAGAGAGAGAGAGAGAGAGAGAGAGAGAGAGAGAGAGAGAGAGAGAGAGAGAGAGAGAGAGAGAGAGAGAGAGAGAGAGAGAGAGAGAGAGAGAGAGAGAGAGAGAGAGAGAGAGAGAGAGAGAGAGAGAGAGAGAGAGAGAGAGAGAGAGAGAGAGAGAGAGAGAGAGAGAGAGAGAGAGAGAGAGAGAGAGAGAGAGAGAGAGAGAGAGAGAGAGAGAGAGAGAGAGAGAGAGAGAGAGAGAGAGAGAGAGAGAGAGAGAGAGAGAGAGAGAGAGAGAGAGAGAGAGAGAGAGAGAGAGAGAGAGAGAGAGAGAGAGAGAGAGAGAGAGAGAGAGAGAGAGAGAGAGAGAGAGAGTGTGTGTGTGAGTGAGTGCGAGTGTGTGTGTGTGAGACAGTGTGTGAGAGTGTGAGTGTGAGTGAGTGTGTGTCTGTGTGTGTGTGTGGGGGAGAGAACGGGTGTGTGTGAGAGAGAGAGCGTGTGTGTGTGTGTGTAGCAGTGCTCCAGCGAGAGCTGCTGGTGTCTGGTGAGCGTCAGCAGGTTCTGCAGGCAGAGATGGAGGGACTGTCGGTGCGTGTGTGTCAGAAGGAGCAGCTCTATGTGGAGCTGAGCATCAAATATGAACAACTTCTGGAGCGATTTCAGATACAGCAGGTACAGCCGAAGCAGAACTTTACCATGAAAAATATGGCAGCAGCATTTTAGGATCTACACAACTGAACTTGGAGATATAGTTCAGCCAAAAATGAAAATGTGTTCGCTCTCAGGTCATCTAAGATCAGGATGAGTTTGTTTCTTCATCAGATTTGGAGAAATGTAGCATTGCATCAGTGTCTCAAAGTGAAAAAGTGCATCTGCTGTTGTCTCTCGCATCAAAATCCAGCCACATGTGTGTTTAGAGCTGTTTAAACGCTGCTTGATCTGTGCAGATTTCTCTCCTGAGTCACACCAGAACACTGACTCACTGGAGGAAGCGTTATTATGGATTATAGACTCAATGTATTTTAGTTAAAAACGTCTTAATGCTGGATTAGTTTCAGCTTTTGTCTTCTCCAGATGTTAACTGATGGACTGGAGTGCTGTGGATTACTTGTGGATTATTGTGATGTTTTTATCAGACTCTCATTCTGACGGCACCCATTCACTTCAGAGCATCTATTGCTGAGACACTGATGCAATGCTACATTTCTACAAATCTGATGAAGAAACAAGCTCATTTTGATCTGGGATGAGCAGATTTCCCCGCACATTTACATTTAAATTACTGTATGGAAGGCTTATTGCTGCACTATTGCACATAGTTGAATAATATCATAAAGCGTATGCAGTATACAGTATACACTGTGTGTTGTGCTGGAATCCCCTGTTTGTTTGTGTGTGTGTGTGTGTGTCAGGAACAGGCCGATCTCCTGCAGCAGCATTTAATCTCTGTGACGGAGGAGCGCTGGAGGGACGCCTCACTGCTGTGTCTTCAGCTGGAGCAGGTGAGCTGTGATTTACAGCAGCTGCAGGGCTCAGAAAAGCAGCTCATGGGTCTGGTGGACGAGCTGCACCAGGAGGCCCAGCTCAGAGCCCAGCAGGCTGAGGTCCTGGAGACGCAGCTCCGCGAGGAGACTCAGAAAATAAAAGACCTAGAGATGCAGCTAAACAGGTGGCAAATCAGAGGGTACACACACACACACACAGGTTTGTTTTTATGGTTTATGGGGACTCTCCATAGGCGTAATGGTTTTTATACTGTACAGACCGTATATTCTATTGCCCTACACCAACCCTACCCCTAAACCTACCCCTCACAGGAGACTTTCTGCCATTTCAGATTTTCAAAAAAACTCATTCTGAATTATTTATAAGCCTTTTGAATTACGGGGAATAAATCACCTTCTCCTTGTAATACCTATGTCATACCCATGTTATTATACAAATTTGTGTCCTCATAAACCACATAAACATACACACACACACACACCACACACACACACCACACACACACACCACACACACACCCCACACACACACACCCCACACACACACACCACACACACACCACACACACACACCACACATACACACACACACCACACACACACACCACACACACACACGCACACACAGCTAATGAGCTGCTTTATTTGACCATTAGGAAAGAGAAACACACACAAAGGCAGTTTAGTTTGTGCACACGTTCAGCACTTGAGCTCATGTTGTTTTTGGGGTTTCTTTAAGCCGCCCCGAACTGAAATTCAACAATTTGCTTCTTTATACTGAATTACGTGTGTGTTCTTTACACTAATCACACCAAAAGTGATTAAGAGTGCAAACTAGTGATGTTGTTTTAACTTAACTCTGCCAGCTAATTAGCTGCTTTATTAATGTGCTTAATGAATATGAACAGCATGTTGCTTTGGTCATTTAGAGGGCAGCAGTCTGAGAAAAAATAAATACATTTG